GTCTATCTCTTTATTCCACCCTCTCTACTTCAATTCATATTTTCCCCTTTTCTTTTCTTTTCCTTATTTTTATTTCATTCCATATTCATTTCTATAATCCAGGGATTTTGTTTCTTCTAATTCCATCTCTCATTTAGAGATTAATGAACCCTATAAAGATAATTCACTCGTTACCAAGTATATGTATGATTCTGAGTCTGATGATGAAGATGTAATCCAAACTTTTTCTAAGATGCTTGAATTGAGTGATAAGGGAATATGCCCACATGAAGATGTAATTGAGATGATTAATATGGGAATTGAGGAGGATCAAAAGATGCTCAAAATAGTAGATAATCTTGATAGGGAACAAATAATTGAGTTGTTCAAAGAATATATAGATGTGTTTGCATGGTCTTATAAAGATATGCTTGGGCTAGACCCAAGCATTGCTTCTCATAAAATACCATTGCTTCCCAAGGTTGAGCCTAAGAAATAAAAGTTAAGGAGAATGAATATGGGGGTATCCTTATAAATAAAAGAAGAAGTAATAAAGCAGTCAGAAGCAGGATTCTTAGAGGTAGTAACCTACCCATAATAGGTGGCAAATATTGTTCCTGTTCCTAAAAAAGATGGTCGAATTTGAATGTGTGTTGATTATCGTAATTTAAATAATGGAAGCCCAAAAGATGATTTTCCACCACCCCATATTGATGTATTGGTTGATAATATTGCTCGAAGCCATTATTATTCCTTTATGGATGGTTATTCAGAGTACAATCAAATCCTTATGCGTGAGGGAGATAAAGAGAAAATAACCTTTACAACCCAATGAGGAACTTATTGTTATTAGGTGATGCCTTTTAGTTTGAAAAATACTGGGGCAACTTACCAACGAGCTATGTTAGCACTATTCCATGACTTGATGCATAAAAAATGAGAGTCATGTTGAAGTCCTTAGAAAGCTATTTGTGAGATTACGCAAATACCGGCTAAGATTGAATCCTAATAAATGCATCTTTAGAGCTCTTTTTGAGAAGTTATTAGGGTTCATTGTAAGTCGTAAAGGGATAGAAGTAGATCTAAATAAGGTGAGGGAAATTCAAGAAATGCCACCTCCCCAAACTTTGGTTGATTTATTTCACTAGATAACTTTCAATTAGACTTAAAACCATTCCTTGGGAGATGACCTAGGGTTGGCCCTATATTGCATTAGGGTTAGCTTTAGTGTAATTTTGAGGATAAGCGACTAATTTCCTATCAAAATTTTGGCGCCGTTGCCGGGGAATGGTTTAAGTTTAATTCTAAGGTTGTTTAGTACTTAATTTAAATTTTTAGTGTTCCTGAAAAATCTTTTGAAAAATTATAAAAATTTGTTTTTTATGTCTTGTTTAGTGTTTTTTGTGTGTTTTGAGTGTTTTTATTCTGTTTCGAAAAAGAAAAAAAAAATTTAGTGCAATTTTCGTTGGTTTGGTGTAGAGCTGAAAATACTCTGTTTCTAGTGTCTCTGTCTGAAATTGAAAAATTAACTGGGAATGAGTCTGAGGGAATTTGAACGTGGAATTTATTTCATTGAAAGCTCTATATCCTAGCTTCACTTTAAAATTGGGTTGGTCAATTTTGGACGTGGGAAGTGTCCTGTGGAAATTTTACAATCTAACAAGGTCCAGGGAGCCATTACAGAGGATTCCCAAAACCCTGTTTCAACTTTGAGTTAGCATATCTTCGTCTTTGTGCGTTCAAATTGATTGATTCCAGTTTCATTTTTCTTATCGCTGTCTTATCTTTGTTTCTTGTGTTTAGGATTTTCTTCAATTTTTCCATTTTCCTATTTGAAAGTTTGTTAGAAGCTCTGAAGGTCTTCTGGACGAAATCTTGTTTCTCCAGACCTGAGGACCAACTTGTGAAAAATTCTGGGAACGATTGGGAAGGATTTTTAATCTAAAAGTTCTATATAATTTGCCTGTATATCTCTTGTGTTTCTCGTAAAAGTTTCAGGGGAATTTATCATGGGATTTGCTGATAGAAAATTCACAAGTTCACTGTCTCCAGAGAGCCTACTGTGTGAATTCCAGAATTGCCAAAGCTTCTTGATTGAGCATTTCTAACTCTCTTTCTACTTGTTTGGTGTTATTTTTTTTTCTTTTTCATTTTGTTGCTATTGAGTTTAATAAAAAAAATAAAAAAAAATTATTTCTCTTGTTTTTGTGTGTTTTGAATTGTTTCATGTTGATTTGCATTTTAGTTTAGTTTGTTCTTTGTTCTTAATTTTTTTGAGCTTGATTAGTGCATGACCCGAAGAAAACATACCTCTTTTGTTGAATTAGATCCAGAAATTGAAAGAACTATTTCTAGATTGAGAAGATCACAACCTATTCTTGATTCTCATTTGGTTTGTAATTCAATAATGGAAGGTATCTTAGGACATGAGCATGTGCATAATGAGGGCCATGGGAATGGGAATGAGAATTTGTATGATGATGGCCATGTTAATAATGAATTTGAAGGCTTGCATAACCCTAGAGAGGAGAGGAGCATTAGGCAATTAACTCAACCTAATTGGCATGATAATCCTTATGGCTTATATGTTCCTCCTACTAATGTTCAATTTGAAATTAAATCCTCCTTGATTAATGCATTGCCTAAATTTCATGGGTTACCAGGAGAGGATTGTCATAGGTTTTTGCATACTTTCCTATTGGTTTGTGATACTATGAAGCCTATGCATGTAAATGTTGATGATGTTCAAGCTAAGGCTTTTGTATTTTCTCTTGAAGGTTTAGCAAAGGAGTGGTATTTCAACTACCCTTCTTATGTGAAAGTGAGCACATGGGTCGAGCTAAGAAGACTCTTCTTAGATAAATTCTTTCCAAATTCCAAGGTCACCAATTTGAGAAAGCAAATCTATGGGGTCCAACAAGGAGAGGATGAGAGTCTCTATGAGTATTGGACTAGATTCCAAGGCCTTTTGGCTAAATGCCCACACCATCAAATTTCTAGTAAGAATTTAGTCCAATATTTCTATGAGGGCTTGATTCTAAGAGACAAAGTTAACATTGATGCCGCTAGAGGTGGATGCTTGATTGACCTCACTTCCTTAAAGGCTTGGGAACTAATTGACAAGATGGCTTCAATTGGTGCTTAATACTCTACAAGGGAAAAGAGAAATGTGAATGTGGTAGGTTCCTTAGTTCTTAATGATTCATATGTGGACTTGCTAGCTGCCAAGATTGGGAGAATGTTGGCTCCACAAATATCTCAAGTGAGCAATGTAAGTACTTCTCAAGCACTTGTCCCTTATTCTTGTACTTTTTGTGACTCACCTATGCATGTAGAAAGCAATTGTCCTATTAAGTTTGAACAAGTAAATGCTATCTACAATGGAAAACAATCCTATGGTGGGAGGCAAGGCTAAGGAGCTTATTCTAATACTTACAACCCTTCATGGAGAGACCATCCTAATTTCTCCTATTCAAATCCAAATGTGGCTTTACAAGACAATCAATAAAGAGGATCCTATCAAAACACCTTTGGCTGTGACCCTCCACCTCATTTGTCTCAAGGTAGCTCTTCTCAAAGCTACAATCCAAGTGGTAATTCTCTTACACCTTCTTCTAATTCTTATAGTGATAGGAGGCTTGTTCCAATTGAGAGTTCTTCTAATTCGAACTCTTCTAATGATGTGAATGTGTTACGTAAGCAGTTGATTGAAATGAACTCTTTGTATAAAAACATGTATGATGGCTTAGGGAACAAGGTAGAGAGTATGGGTAACAAGTGTGAGAACATGAACTCTAAAATTGATGCCCTTACTTCTCAAATGAATATGCTTGCTAACCAATTAAGTGCAGCCAATGCTCAAGCCTCTACATTACCATCCAACACCGTTGCTAATCCTAAAGCTAATCTTAATGCTATCACATTGAGGAGTGGCAAGGAGTTGGGAGAAAGAGTACAAGAAGAAAAAAGACAAGGAAGGCCGAGAAGCCCTCTTTAAATTCTTCAATTGATGTTAATGTTTCTAGTTCTTCTTTTGCTCCTAATGATGCATCTTTTTATAGAGATGATGAGGATGAAAACATTGAGGAGATCATATGTGAGCAACCACCATCTAAGGTGGAAAAGGGGACTATGGCCGAGTTGTTTAGTAAGGAAAAAGAGGGAGAGGCCGAGCAAAGTGAAACAAGAAAGGAGAGTTCAAGGAAGGAAGAAGGAAAGCAAAGTCAAGAGATTATGAAGAAGCTTCTTTTCCACAAGCACAAGTAGTCCCTAAGCAAGTAAAGGGACAATTTGATCAAGAGGTATATGATTTCTTCCACAAGATTCATGTTAATGTACCCTTGATGGATATAGTTAAGAACTTTCCTAAGTATGCCAAATTTTTGAAAGATTGTTGTACAAATAAAAGAAAATTTAGGCCTAATGTAAGGGTACAATTACCCTCATCTGTGAGTGCTATCATGAAGCCTCAACTCCCTATAAAATGTGAGGACCCCGGTTCCTTCACAATTCCATGCAAGATTGGCAACACACATTTTTCTCATGCATTGATAGACTTAGGTGCAGCCATTAATGTTATGCCTCTTTCAATTTATCATGCCTTGAGTCTTGATTGCATGCATAAGACACCTATGATATGCCAATTAGCGGATAGAAGTGTTAGAAGACCACATGGAGTAGTAGAAGACTTGTTGGTTTGTGTTAAAGGTCTATTATTTCCTGTGGATTTCTATGTGCTTGATATGTCAAAAGAAGGGAGTGGGGATGATATTTTGATTTTAGGAAGGCCATTTATGAGGACTGCCCGTACATTGATTGACATGGAAAAAGGTAGTTTGATTTTGAAATGTGGAGAGGATCATGTTATTTTTAATATATATGAAGCAATGAAACATCCTTTTGAGGATTATTCTTTGTTAGGTGTAAGTTCCATTGAGTTATTGCTTCATGATGCTTGTGAGTCTCACATGCTTGATTCTTTCTCACATGTTGATGATGATTTGTCTCTTGTTACTACTACATGTATTGATGGATGTAGTTGTCCTATTTGTTTAGAGATTGATGCATGCTTGAATGATGCAACTACTTCTTCTCATGATTTGTTTAAAATATCTCCTATGCTTGATCTTGAAATGCTTGAGAAGGGTATATCTTCTTGTGTTGTAGGTACTAAAGCCATTAAGGCCGAATCTATGAGTTTTTCTCCACTCGAGCTTGATGTTCTTAGGATTCCCAAGCTATTGGAGGAAAATTCTACACTTTCACATGTCAAGGCCGTGGCTCAAGTCCAAGCACTTGAGGACAAGTTGCAAGAAAAGGGGGAGGCTGTAAAGAAAGAAGAGGAGAAATCAAAAACAAGTGAGAAGCCTAAAAGACAAGATAGTACCATGGAATATTCCACCAAATTAGACTTGAAGAAGCTCATTCCCTCTTGTGTAGAGCCACCTACCTTAGAGTTGAAGCCTTTACCATCCAATCTCAAGTATGCATATCTCATTGAGAATGAGAAGCTTCCGGTAATAATTTCTAACTCTTTATCTCTTGAGGAAGAAAATGCATTACTTGATGTGTTGAGAAAGAACATACATGCTATTGGTTGGACTTTGGCTGACATTCCTGGTATTGACCCTATTGTGTGCACACATAAAATTTTTCTTGAGGAAAATGCTAAGCCCATTAGGCAACCACAAAGGAGACTTAACCCATTGATTTTAGATGTGGTAAAGAAAGAGGTTGTTAAGCTACTTAGTGCTGGGATCATCTATCCTATAGCTGACAGTGAGTGGGTGTCTCCAACCCAAGTTGTACCTAAGAAAGGGGGGATTACTGTGGTAAAAAATGAGAAAGGAGAGCTTGTTCCAACTAGAGTTCAAAATGCTTGGAGAGTGTGCATAGACTATAGGAAGCTCAATAATGTGACTAGGAAGGACCATTTTCCTTTGCCTTTTATTGATCAAATGCTTGAGAGATTGGCTTCCAAGTCCCATTATTGCTTCCTAGATGGGTTTAGTGGGTATTTTCAGATTCCTATAGCTCCTAGTGACCAAGATAAGACTACCTTTACATGCCCTTTTGGTACATTTGCCTATAGGAGGATGCCTTTTGGTCTTTGCAATGCACTGGTACTTTTCAAAGATGCATGATGTCCATATTTTGTGATTTTATTGAACATTGCATGGAAGTCTTTATGGATGATTTTACTGTGTATGGTGAGTCCTTTGATTCATGCTTGCATTCTTTAGATAAAGTGCTTGGTAGGTGCATTGAAAAAAGCTTGTGCTTAACTTTGAAAAATGCCATTTCATGGTAGATAAAGGAATTGTTTTAGGCCATTTGATTTCTTCCAATGGCATAGAGGTGGATAAGGCCAAAGTAGATGTGATTGCTTCTTTGCCATATCCTGTTTGTTTGAAAGATTTGAGATCATTTTTGGGACATGCAGGCTTTTATAGGAGATTTATAAAGGGGTTTAGTGAAATTGCTTTGCCTATGTCTAAACTCTTACAAAAAGATGTTGATTTTGTTTTTGATGATGCTTGCAAAAGGAGTTTTGACACTTTGAAAAGCATGCTCATTTCCCCTCCCATTCTTAAAGCCCCAAATTGGTCTTTACCTTTTGAGTTGTCATGTGATGCTTCTAATTTTGCTGTGGGAGCTATGCTTGGTCAAAGAGAGGGCAAGTTATCATATGTGATTGCTTATGCATCTAAGACCCTAGATTCAGCTCAGGTTAATTACACCACAACTGAGAAAGAGTTGTTTGCTATTGTTTTTGCACTTGATAAATTTAGATCATATCTTCTTAACTCTAAAGTTGTTGTGTACACTGACCATGCTGCTGTGAGGTACTTGTTTAAGAAGATAGATTCTAAGCCTCGCTTGATTCGATGGGTGATCTTAATGCAAGAATTTGATGTGGAGATAAGGGATAGGAGTGGTTCTACCAATCAAGTAGCGGATCATTTGTCTAGACTACCTCATTTAAAAGCTACTATGGTAAACTCTAACCCTACTATTTAAAGACTCTTATGAATTTTGTAAAGCATGCTTGAAATGTCAAAAGGTTAGTAGTTGGGGTAAGAGACATGAAATGCCTCAACAACCCATTTTATTTTGTGAGATTTTTTATGTTTGGGGCATTGACTTCATGGGTCCCTTTCCACCATCCTTTAGTTTTGAGTACATATTACTTGGTGTTGATTATGTTTCAAAGTGGATTGAAGCCATTCCTACTAGAACTTGTGATGCTAAGATTGTTTTGAAGTTTCTCAAATCTAATATTTTTTGTAGGTATGGAGTTCCTAAGGCCTTGGTAAGTGACCAAGGATCCCACTTTTGCAATAAGATGATGAAGGCTCTCTTGGCTAAATATGGGGTGCATCACAAAATCTCTACACCATATCATCCCCAAACTAATGGCCAAGCCGAAGTATCAAATAGAGAAGTCAAGAAAATCCTAACCAAGGTGGTGAACACAAATAGGAAGGATTGGTCTTTACACTTGGAGGATGCTTTGTGGGCTTATCGGACCGCTTATAAGACTCCCATTGGCATGTCTCCTTTTCGATTGGTGTATGGAAAGGCTTGCCACCTCCCTGTGGAGATAGAGCATAGGGCCTATTGGGCCATCAAGAAACTAAACTTGGATTTCCATCTTTCGGCTAAGGAGAGATTTCTTCAAATGCAAGAACTTGAGGAGCTTAGGTTGGATGCCTATGAGTCTTCTAGAATCTATAAGGAGAAAACAAGGATCCTTCATGACAAGCTAATCTTGAGGAAAAAGTTCCAAGAAGGAGATCAAGTCCTCTTGTTCCAAACAAGGTTTATTCATAAGCATGCCAAGTTGAAGTCTAAGTGGGAGGGACCATATCTAGTGACCAAGGTGTTTCCCTATGGGGTTTTGCAACTCTTGAATAAAGCCACGGGTTCCACTATGCAAATCAATGGTCACCTATGCAAGCTCTACAAAGATGCCAAATCACTTCAAAAGGAGGAGGACTTCTCTCAACATGTTTTTGAACCACCATGATAAGGTTGTATCTCTCTAACCTTGAGCTTTTACCTTCCTTTAATTGATATATTTAATGATAGGTATAGTTCAAGTGTGGGGGAGATGAACCTAATAGGAAAATTAGAGTTTATTTGCTTTATTTGACTTCTTTGTTTTGTGTTTTAGTTTGAAAAAAAAAATATCTGCACCACACTTTTGTTATGCATTCATTATTGATCTCACCTTATTTTATCACTAGTCTATACATACATTGAGGACAATGCATGATTTAAGTGTGGGGGAGAGAAATAAACATTTTGTTTTGTTTGTTTGGTTTTCTTTGGTTTTGTAAAAAAAAAATTCAAAAAAAAATTTCTTTGTTTTGTTTTGTTTGAGGTTACTTAATTACCTAGCTCTTGAATGGATATTTTGATTCTTGAGATGTGGTAATTTTTAGGATTGAATAGGTGTGAAGTGAACATTCTTTTACCTTGAATTAATGGATTAGAGTGGCATATTACCCATTCATGGAAGAGGCTAAACACTCATGTGTGATTAATTCCTTAGTGATGTTACCCTCTAGAATTTGTTTCACTTCTTAATTAAGACCATATATCTTGCACTTGTTTGATAGGAGATGAGAGATGGCATTCATAAAAAATAGCCAAGAGCCAAATAGCCAACCTATTATTATTTATTATCCTTTGTTAGCCACTTTGAGCCTTTGGTTTGATTCTTAAAAAAAAAATATATTCACCCTATTTTTCCCCAAGGAATGCATGTTACACTTTTATATGTCTTTTTAATATTCATTGCATGTCCTAGATCAAATGAGTGGATGCCTATTATCATTTCTCTATCCATTACTTCCATTGTTTTCAAAGAGTTAGGGGCAACCAAAAAAAAACAACAAAGATAGATTTGAAAAAAAAAATATAGTCAAAAAGAAAAGAAATAAAGTTGCTAGAAAAAGAAAAAAAAAAGAAGAAAAAAAAAGAAAAGAAAGAAAAAAAATAAAAATAAAAATAAAAAGTTGCCTAGCTCATCCATTCCATTTGTTTTATTATTTCTTATCATTTCTTTCCATCATCATTGTGTTAAGGTGTTCACTCAATTGAGTTAGGTTATGCTTTGCATATTAAGGGGATATATCTTATTTAGCATTATTTTGATGCTAACCCTATTTTTTTTATATACATGCATTTCTTAGACATCCTTTCATTACCTATATCACAACTTAATAAAATCCATTTGATTCTTGATTGTAAGTGCTATTTAGTGATGGAGATGTAGAAGGGTTACAAATTCATAGTAGGGTTTGTCCTAAGAAATTTTGAGTGAAATTTAATACCTTATACACTTTGAGTGATGAGAGTAAACACTTAACCTAGAGAGGCTTACTCTTTGACATTGATTCTTGGTAAGGGTTTGTTTGTGATGTGCATAATTCTTTCGTAATTATTGCCACATTGATTGATAATTTGTAGAAGTTCATGAGCTAGTATTTTAGTGACTTGAAATAATGTTTTTCTCTTATTTCTTTGTCTTATAGTTTCTTTTGGGACCTTTTTCACTTGATTTTGCCCGGAGTGCAAAAGCTAAGTGTGGGGGAATTGATAGAACACATTTGTTACCCACTTTTATTTGTCAATTAGGACCATTTTATTAATGATTTATCACCTTCAAGTGCACACATTGCATTAGATTTGGAACTTTGCCTAAGTTTCTAAGATCAGTGCACTAGGGGTATTTTGGTCCAAAAAATGAAATTTTGAGAAAATGTACAAGAAAAATTGACAAAGTGAATTTTATGTCCAGTTGATGAATGGTGAAATTATATTTTTAAAATTCATTTTAGTTTGGGAGTAATTAAATAAAAAAGTCAACACTTTCTTAAGTGTCTTAGTTTGTCCTAGTTTTTGGTTTGCCTTTGTGTGAAAATTTTTATATAATTTTGTGCAGCCTGAAACTTGGTTAATTTAATAAATTCTCCCTTCTAATTATGAATTTAATTCTGGACATGAATTAGATTTTATTATATCATATGCTATTTAATTGAATTATGTGATTTATGTGACATAGGTGGCATGTGACTTGTGCATCAATTGGGCAATTGAGGTCAACACTCCTTGAGGACAATGGCTGATGGTTTGCACGTGAATTATGATTATTTTGAGGGATTAGATCAGCTAAAATGATGTGGATGACACATAGGAAATTAGGCACACATTGGAATCATCTACAAACCAATAGGAAGTTGCCACCTTGCAAGTGTGACAAGGCTCCCATTTACATTTTAATTTCTTTTTCCTTATTTTAATTAAGCTTCAGCTGATGGGAGACACCAAGGAGCACGCCATTTTAAGTCCCAAATGGGATCCAACACATATCTCATTCATCTTCCACATTCTCTCTCTCTTGTTCATAGTGTTCTTCATTTTCTGTCTTTTGTTCTTCATTTTCCAGCACCCTAACCTCCATTTTTCAGCCACCAAACCTCCACAAAACTCATACCATTCTTCTCCTCTCTTCATTTTCGTTCCATCCCTTCCATTTTCACAAGGATTGAAGCTCATTTTCATCATTCAAGAGCTATGGAGTTTGGCCTTCACAAGCAATCACTAGGGTTCTTGAAGATGAAGATTGGCTAAGTTTCTTTATGGAATCCTAGAGAGATGAAGATGGAGGATGAGTCTTGAGCTTCAAATTGGCTAAGTTCTTTTGTTTCCTATCCTCTTCTCTTTTTACTAGATGGTTAGATTCCTTAATCTAGGGTTTAATCATCTTAGCTTATAAATTCTAATTTGAATTTGATGTTGATGTAAAGAGAGAGGATTGTTTCATTTAATTTCTTCCTTGGACAGCCATGACTGAATTTTGCCACTCTTTGTTTGGCACATAATCTTGTGTTTTTCAATTAGTGAATTTCTTGTGTTAATATTACATAATCTTGTGGTGTTAATGCTTGTGTTGTTGAGTAGCTTGACATAATCTTGTGGTTGCTCAATTTATGTGTTTGACCATGGCTGTTGAGAGAGGATTTTGAATGAATCACTTGGCTAATGTCTTCACCAATTGGTTAATTGAACTAGGGACTTTAATCTAAGACCTAGGGAGGTTAGCTAATTAGGTTAATTGGCTTAGGATAATTTTCTTAAGTCATGACAGCTTTAGTCAAGAGGAAAGGGAAGCTAAACTTAGCCTAATCATGAGAAGATAATGAGTCCAAAATCAACTAATCTCTAGGGTTCCATTATTGTAAAAAGGGAAGTTCATTTCACTCACTTTCACTAGCATTTTAATTACTTGCATATTAGGTAATTAGTTTAGATAATTAGCTAGATAACTAAATTCCTACAAACTTTGGTTGATTTATTTCACTAGATAACTTTCAATTAGACTTAAAACCATTCCTTGGGAGATGACCTAGGGTTGGCCCTATATTGCATTAGGGTTAGCTTTAGTGTAATTTTGAGGATAAGCGACTAATTTCCTATCACCTATAAAGGCAACTTAAGCAAAAGTTAGAGCAAAGAACAAGCAAAGTAATGATAAGAAGAAAAAGAGTTCACTAAGACAAAAGGATGTCTTAGGAGAAGAAAGGAAGGCATGCGAAGTTAAGTATCTATGTTTGGGAAAGTCGACTCCATCATCTCTCACACCATGCATATCAATGATAGCTTAGTGAAGCACATGTTGAGGTTTTGAAAAGTTAAAGGAGAGAGATGTGATTAAGTAGATTCACATATCCCATTTGCGCTTAGGCCATTTGTACTCATGAACCAAGGTATTCCCATTTCTTTATGAACTTTTTCATTAAAGAATGAATTTTTCCACCCTTGTTCCTTTGAGATGATCTTTCTTCTCTCTTTATGTTATCATATTCGAATTCATATCTCATATATTATAGCAGGAGCACATTCAAGGAACAATATTTATTGATACATAAACTTGATGTAGAGTGTTGGTATCTTTATTCTTACTTTTCGCCCTTGAGGTATCAAGATCATCATGTAGGTGTAAAGTGACAATGAGAGCATGTGTGCTTTTAGTATTCAGTCATAAAAGTTGATCTCATTAACTTGAAAGCAAGATCAAGTGATGAGAATTTTGTCATTTGAATTTTCTAAAGAGGGGCAACGGCATATTGTGATACTATACCTATTAATGAATAAAGGTTAAATAATAGACTTGGAGGTATTACCTAGTGCTCGAAACGATTTATTTGATATGCACAAAAATTTTCAAAAAAAGGAATATATATTAAAACAATTTTCAATATCAAATTTTCCAATAAAAGTTTTTGCAATACATTTGCATTGGGGAAAATAAGCACGTCTTACCCTTTGCATTTATCACAAAAAAAGAAGTCTTATAAATTGAGATGAACAAAGATTCAAACTTTTTACATTGCAAATCATCCATGGTATATTGTACATATTCTTAGACCCCATTTTAATTAAGGGCAGATAGAAAAATGAAAAAATCATGCATGGCGCATTACTGCATTGCATTCCTTGTCATAGAAATATGCCTCATTTGGATTGGGGCAAAGCAAAAATAATATAAAAAAAACTGAGGAAGTAAGAGAAGAAATAACAAACCTCACTTGTAAGTTTCTCATATTTTTCATGTGAGATAAAACCTATTCTCACACCCTTAAAGCCTAGTACTAGCTGGCATGATTCTTTAAAGCCCTATAACAGCAAGCACCCCTAAAACCCAGTACTGGCTAGCACAATTCTTTAAAGCCCAGTACTAGCTGGCACAATTCTTTAAAGTCCTGTAACGATAGGCACCCTCAAAGCCCAGTACTAGCTAGCACAATTCTTTAAAAGCCCTGTAACGGCAGGCACCCAAAAGCATAGTACCAACTGGCACAATTTCTTAAAAGCCTTATAACAGCAGGAACCCTCAAAGCACAGTATCAGCTGGCACAATTCTTTAAAAGCCCTGTAACACCAGGCATCCCAAAGCCCAGTACTGGTTGAAACAATTCTTTAAAAGCCCTGTAACTGCGAGCACCCTAATGCCCAGTATTGGCTGGCACAATTCTTTAAAAGCCCTATAATGGCAGGCACCCTAAAGCCCAGTACTAGCTGGCACGATTCTTTAAAAGCCTTGTAACGGCAGGCACCCCAAAGCCTAGTACTGACTGGCACAGTTCTTTAAAAGCCCTGTAACAGCAGGCACCCTAAAGCCCAGTATCGGCTGGCACAACTTTTTAAAGCCCTGTAATGGTAGGCACCCTCAAAGCCCAATACTGGCTAGCACGATTCTTTAAAAGCCTTGTAATGGCAGGCACCCCAAAACCTAGTACTGGTTGGCACGATTCTTTAAAAGCTCTGTAACAGCAGGCACCTTAAAGCCCAGTGCCAGCTAGCACAATTCTTTAAAAGCCCTATAACGACAGGCACCTCAAAGCCTAGTACCATCTGGCATAATTCTTTAAGGCCCTGTAATGACAAGCACCCTCAAAGGCCAGTACCGGCTAGCATAATTCTTTAAATCCTTGTAACGGCAAGAATCCACTAGGCCCTTTGGAATATAAGCAATTCATCTCCATTGAGGTTTTATTTTATTTATTTCCTAAATCACATTTCATTTTAAACCCTTTGTTTTGTTTTTGTTTTGTTTTGTTTTGTTTTTTGTCTAGTTGTAGGTACCTAAGAGTCTTGCCGCTCGAAACAAAATACATGTTTCTTTCTTCATTCATTTCTAAGATAAGAATATCATCTCATGAAATTCTCACTTAGAAATCAAATGAAGAGGGGCATCTACTCAACATATATTTTGTTTGGATCATTATCATTTGCTTACAACATCTTTCTTTTTATCTTATTTTGTTTAGTCATTTTCATTTGCATCACATTACTAAAAAAAACCATTTCATAGTCTTGCATCCTTTTATTTTATTTGGTTATTTTCATTTGCATTACATTGATAAAACAAAAAAAAATTATTTTACTATGTTTGTTATCCAATAGTCTTGCATCCGTTTATTTTATTCGGTCACTTTTATTTGCATCACATTGCTAAAAAAAATCAAATCAAAATAAAAGAAATCATTCTACTATGTTTGTTATCTAATAGTCTCTCATTTAACCATATCTTGTAGTGTCAGGGACAATTAGGTCTTTTCATAGGTATTTCATGACCAATCAAAATACATGTTCTATCTTTACTTGTCACTTATGTAAGAATTCAAAAACACACTTTTTCATATACTTACATAGAAAACAAGTAAAGAGGGGCAACTGTGAATACTGTATTTTGTTCGAACATTTTTTTAATAAAAAAATATAAAAATACAAAAATGAAATTTAATCCTTTTAGGATTATATTTTCAAAATAAAAAAATCTTTAATTAATAGGTTTAGTGTTATTTTAATCTAGATAATCTTTTGTGGGTTAGGATCTTATTTCTTCATTAAAAATAACCAAAAAATATAAAAATAAAAAAATAAAATTTAATCCTTTTTTAGGATTATATTTTCAAAAAATAAAATAAAAATAACAATAATCTAACAAAAATAATAATAATCTTGCTTAAATCTTTAAAAATCTCCTCAAATTATCTCAATCATCCAAAGACATTGGGAATTGACTTTTAAGACCCAACTATTTTTCTCTCCTTGAATTTTTTTAAAAATAATAATAATAAATATGTAAATATATGTATATTCTTAATCTGATTTCAAACAAAATAAAATTTCAAACAAAACAAGTTTAAAAGGCTATACCACAGCCAAAAGCATTTCCTTTCAGCGGTCAAACACCAGAGAGGAAAGTTAGACGTAGCAAAGAAAGAAAGCAGAAGGAGCACACATGCAGAAAACATTGAGAAGCAAAGACAATGTACGCAGAAGAAGAAAATGCACAGAAAGAAAGTAGAAGGAGTAGACGAAAAAGACATAAAGAAAGAAAGCCATAACAGCACGCATGAAACACAGACTAGAGAGAAGTAAACACAAAACATAAGAAAAAGGAAGAGGAGAGAATGCCAGAAAGACTAGACTCACATGCACGGAGAACATGCAAATAGAAACTAGAGTCACAGAGGTAGAAAGATCAAAAATAGAATGCAAAGCAGAGAAAAAGGAAAAGTACCAGTCATATGGCAAAGCTAGAGACGAGGGAGCTTTCGACACATGCAGAAAATGCAGCGAAAGAGAAAGAAAAAGAAAAAAGCAGAGTAGGTGAGTAATCATTCATCCCTTCTATTCTCTATATAAGGTTGGAGAGCAGAAAGTCGAGGAGGGAAGAGGTGATCGATAGTTCGAGAGAGAGTGTTTTCTGAATAAATAAGAAAAGAGACTGCGAAGAGACTGAGAAAGACAAGTTTTGTTTTCTGAAAATAGAGAAAATGATCTAGAGATAGAAGAAAAACCAAGGATGAAGGAGAGCAAAAAACTGTTGAGCAGAAAATTGAGAAGGAGAGACCAAGAGTAGAAGCAGAAAACCGAGAAGAAGAGACTGCGATTAGAGGGAAAGAGTTTTAAAAAAAAAGAGGCTGAGAGCAAGGGAGAAAGGACCCATATTTTTCAGAGAGTAAACATGGAAGAGGTACTACACAGGTTTCCTAATCTATTTACTTTCAGATCTGGAATATTTTACAATTGATTTCATTTTAGCTTACATTTTATAAACCTCTAGGTTTTGTTGCTACATATGAACACTACAAAGGTTACATATTATTCTTGTATGGCTTGGCTTT